GTCCACCATAGACTTTGTATGTAAACCTGCTGCTCCTGACGCTGAAATCGCGTTCGGTGTGAACGCACCATTATAAACTTTTGTGTAACTATTGTAATGTCTTGATTAAAATAGCTTTAGTTACATGCCTGAAACACCATGACAACACATCGATAAAATGTTAATCAAACACAAGGGAAGGATTTCCGTACAAGTGCCTGAGATTCAGCCGTAGGCCTGTAAGGTGGTGGACCAGGCACTGAAGAACAATGTGATAAAAATGGGGGCACTTCTGTTTCCAGGAGCGCTGCTTCGATGTCTCATCTGTGAGCATTAAAATTAACGCTCATATCCAGTACTGGAGTGGTTGTATGGTCTTTCCTTTTTACATTTTAATCTATGCAACATTCATGTGGGTTTGTCACAATTTCAGTTAACGAACACAAAATATTCTTACAGCGTGATGATACAACACACACCGATATAGAAAATCTCATTTCTGGAGGATCCCCTCTAATTTAAGTGTGGCCTAAATTAAGAAAAAAAAAACTTTGCAGAGTGTGGCAAATGAGAGAAACAATAGAGTATTTAGTTTTTCTTTTTCTGGAAACCTACCTCCGACTGGAGAAGCAAAACAGCTGCTCACTCCCACAGCACAAGCAGCTGCCAGCATCTCAGTGTTCCTTGACTCATTCTGAAACACAAACATGGTGACTGATCAGTTTTTTTTCTTCCTTTAAATTAAAACAACAAAAGTTAAAGGCCTGCCATTCTTTGAAAGAGTGCGTATCGTCACTTGTAGCTTTTTATGCTGTAGTGTTAAATCAGAATCAGTTTATTTGTCATTGTACAGAGCACAACGGAATTCATTTTGGTACAACCCATCCAAGAGAGACAAAACAAAACATACATGAAGGGGACAGGTGCCTGAGGCTGCAGCCACTGAAAAGGTGGTGGCTTTGCATTAAAGAAAAACAAGAAATAGTATACAAGAGGGGAAGAGAATGATAAAAAAAAAACATATCTCATAATGTGTCCCTACAAGAACACAATATGAATTTGCAAAAATAAATAAATAAATAAAAAATAATGAAATAAATAAATAAATAAAAATAAACAAATAAAAAACTTTGTATAGAGCACATTTAAGCCAGAAAAGGCAGTGAATTAAACAAAACCATCTTATGATGAGTGCAATATTGCAAGATTTTGCTAATTCTGTAAAGCACTCCCGAGGATGACAGTTACTAACAAAAGCTGTTTTTGTAGTGGCTTGTCTTCATTCATTTATCTTGAATTGGGTCTGATTCAAAGGTTAAATGGTTGCAGTCTTACAAACAATGAGTACTTTCTGAAGGTTTAAATAAAATCAGACAAATGGTTTATTTTGATTTTGGTAACAGACAGTATCGATAAGACCTAGTGCCAAAGTTTTAAGCAAATATTTCCTGCACTGTGCAGCACTCAGGGTATGTGATGTGAATTGGTTCAGCTACTACAAACAAAACTGTAGCTCAAACTTTGTAAAAATGACTGGTCTATGACTATTTTAATGGCCATCTTGGACTGGCTTGGATTTAGGGTATTCAGTTTTAGATCTACAGCCAACGATTACTTTAGGCTCCTTCAGAAGACACTCCGTATCGTTACTGACACGTCCAGACCACCTTGGTTCATCCGGAAGACACACAGAGTGGTAAAGGGGGTACTTAAACTTCCAGTCTCTGAGTGAGGTAGTTACAAATATGGTAGTGATGATTTATAACTTAATCACTTCCTGTTTGAATCTTCAGAGCTGGATACTCAGCTGTGATTTCCAGAATCTTCTCTGCGAGGTCAGACACTTTATAAGCAAAACTCAGAAC